TCTATCTATCTGCCTATTTATCTACCTACCCACCTACGTACCTATCCACCTTAATTTACACTCAGGGAACGACTCCTCTCTCTGATTTACCAGACTAACCTACTCCTTAATATCTAGATAAACAGGGTTTCCTAAAACAATATTGAGCCTAAGTGTAGAATTAAGACAGGAAGTCAGCTAGAAGCATGTCCTGCTTTTGCTTGGTGGTGGTTCCCTTACTAACTGACAAAGCCAAGCAGGAGCATGAGCTCTGCTATGTCCAAAAGGAAAGTCTGAGTTTCGCATTGGTACCTTGTTATTTGCTTTGGTCCTGCAGTCACTGATTACACAACTAATGCTGCTCAGATTGCTCACCAGTGAGACCCTCCTAATACACTAAGTGGGAGTGCCTCATACTCTATCCTTCGGTGTCCCTCCCGCCCTAACTAGATATGTTGATACTTAACATTATTCTTATATTTCAAGCATTATTTATTTTCAGAGGGCAAGGGAAAGTGTATGGCCTAATAAGAAAATGTACATATTTCAAGAAACATATTCTAATTGATTACTGTGTTTTCCATATCTAAAACCACAGTGTCTCTAGGTTAGCACCAAGTGCCCAAGGCTTAATCCCTCATAAGGGCTCTGGAAAAGCTCCCCTTATACGTAGTTGATTTGCTTAATTCTTTTGTGATTTAAGTTATCATTTAAAATGCCAGTTAGAGAAATGCATTTTAAATGAAAAATGGTATTTCCCCTCTCCACAAAGTTCTAATTGTTTTATACAATGGCCTTATGTATTTTTTTTCAATTTAAATATATTACTTGGATTATTTTTTTTTTTGGATTCTTTTGTTAGTATATCTGGAAACGGACTGATTTGGTTATTTTAATTACATATAATTATTCAAAGAAATATATATTTAAGATTAATCTTCAATTCAATGGTTAATTGTGAACATTTGGGGAATATTTTTGTCATACTGAATGAGGAATACAACTTATTCAAGACAGATGGTTTGATTTAATTCAAGCAACTTATAGACTCAGAATAAAGCTACATAGTTATTTAAAAAATCATGTATTTGTGAATTTCTGAATATTACAATTCTAGATACGTATGTGTGAAAGAAAAATAGCATATATCAGCTGACTCAAGAGTTTCAGTTATTTGTTTACGTGATATATGCACCTTCATCTTTAATTCAACAATCTAATAGGGTATTAAGCAATCAAGGTCGGTAGGGAAGATGTTTGAAAAAATAACAATTGGTGTGAAGTAGGTGCTTAGTACTTTCCTAATTAATATTGAGAGTAACTCCAAAGTAAAAGTAGGGACAATAAATTAAAACCCAAATAAGTAAAATGTATGATATGTTAGATTGTGGTAAGTGCTATTAAAAAAAAGAAAGAAAAGGCAGGGAAGGGCAATAGAGAGCCAGGGATATGGCAGAAGCTTGAAGTGCAGTGGTCAGGGAGGCAGTATAGCTATGTTTAGGAGGTGGGGGCGGATTTCACGAGGAAGCTACTGTTAGCATAGACACAGAATCCAAGAAGCCTGTCCTTAACACAGGCAGAGACTCATTTGCAGTTGAACGTATTAAGCCTTGAGAGTAAGCAGATCTGCTGGGAGACGGATTTGTAATCACCTAAGGCGTTGAAAACCACAACCCTGCCCTCAAAACTGCATTCCTTGTAAATCGAATCTATTTTCACATGCTATAGTATGAACCAAGTAAATCAGCTTGCCGTGCCTTCCACTAAACTGAAAATGTTCTTCTTTATTTCAGCTAAGTCTCAACTCTAATAATTTATTCTACAGATCCACTTACATATTTCTGCAAATAGGTATTTACAAGGGAATCTATCATGGTATTGTTTGCAACAGCAACAGTTTAGAAACAATCAAAAAGTTCATCTTTGAGAAGCAGGCTGCATAAATTATGGCACATTTGGAGCGTGGCATATACACAGCTGTTATAAAGAATGAAGCAACCCTTACTCGAACTACCAGTGTGGAACAATCTCCACTGTAAATTGTTCAATGAAGAAAGCAAGGTGCAGGAGAATGGGTATAGCAGGTTATCGCTGTGTTTAAAAATTGCATATATGAAATATCTATGTAAGACAATATGCATACATATATACATAGGTTGTCTTTGAATTAATATTGCTAATTTGGGTTGCAACTTCGTGGTGGGGATGGGAAGGACTCTTCCTTTTCACTGTATACCCCATTTTACCACTTGAATTTTGGTCAGGTGCATACATGATCTGGTAAAATTTTTTTTTTTGTAAAGTCAAGATCAGTGTAAACATTAGCTTAGGGCCAAGAATCTCTGGGTTTAAAATGTAAAAAAAATATTGTGATTGGATTAAAATTTTAGAACTCTAAATTAGAGTGTCTTTTAATTAAATTCCAACAAACATTTATTGTGCAGCTAGCAGGCATTGCCAAGCACTGTTTTAGGCCCTGGAGAGTCAAGAAGAATTCACACCTCTTGTTCTTTTCAAAATGGCTTAACTGGACAGAAAAGAGTCACATAAATTATTTAGGGTTAATATCTGTCTCTAAAATAACTGCCAAAGTGCAAAACAAATAGTTAGTGGTTCATAAGTATGGACAACTCCACCCCTTAGTGTGTGTGTGATTTTAGGCAAATTAATTAATTAAAATC